AATCCAAAGCTCTGAGAGCAGCCACTGAAATGGACATACACACTTTTAAAAATGCACAGTGTACGTCTGCTTGTTTGGACCCCTTCTAAAACATGACTGTGATCTTACCAGCAGCCAAGCACTTAAACTTAAAATCTTTCAAATAGTGAGAACATTTATGCTCATCTGACATTGAGCATTTTAGTCGCTTCAATCAGCGTCACTGCTCTGATCCGGACTCATGACTCATGACTTCAGGCTCTGCGTGAATAAAGCAAGCTAATACTTCACCTAGCTACAACCAACCTCAAAGGGACTCATTATCAGCCGCTCTATAGACACAAATCCTGTTGCCAGGGGTTCCATCTCATCAGCCCACCCCAGAGACACACACTGTCACCAAGAAAACCCAGTGAAAATTGCTCACCAGTGTGGGCCTTGCCTTAGTATTTTACTGTATTTACTGTAACCGCAACATGATATAATCAAAATATCAATTATGCATTTATGTATAATTATTCTGGTCTAATGAATTTAACTGAGAAAATTAACTGCAAAGAAGAATATACTGGAGAACTTGTTAATAGCAAAGCTGTGATGGGCTGAGAAGTATTGTCAGTGAAGAAAAATGCATTAAATGAAATAAATCTGTCTGTCTTATCTTAACAGACAAAGCTGCACTCTACTTTTATGTCATAAGTTGAAAAGTGAGAAGAGCCTTGTCTCTGATAAACACACTGCCAGACAGCAGAGCTGTTCAAACACAATAATTGAATTGGCCTTTACAGGCCCGTCTCACTATAATCACTCAACATGGACATCTGAAAAAAGGAAGCCAAGAGAAATAGAGAGAAATTAATACAGATTAACTAAATTGTCTAGAATTAAATTCAAGCTGAGGGTGGTGAAAAAGGAAGGAAAATTGTCTCTAGCATTATAAAAGAGTAAGTAATGAGAAATCTGCCCAGCCAAGGAGTCAGACAAAAGAAAGTAGCAGAAATTTCTCCCATTTATCCAATCATCCTCTGCTAATCTAATCCACTCCACTCCCTCCCACTATCTCGTTTCATTTTCACAGCATAATGCAATCACAAGCTCCCTCCAGAGGATCTCCTCCCCACTGGTGTGAACATGCTGGCTCCAGACTGTCAGCAAAGAGGAGTCGAATGGCAGCGCAATGGGAGGCAACAGGTTGATGGATTACATTCAGCTCAGCGTCACCGTTGCTGCTCGTGCTGTTGGTCTGCCAATTAATAAAAGGACAAATGTACTCAGTTTTCCTTTTTTTGTTCTTGTGATTCATACAAGAGCCTGCAGACAATAAATTAAGGCTTTCAAGAGAAGCTCAAGACCTTCAAGACATTCTGATGCTCCTTAGGAGCTAATCGCTGGAATAATCGAACTTGATGCTGTTAACTTTTCTGAGGCTAACTTGCGTCTTCATCTGTTTCAAGTTGGTCTTTATGTGTCTATAAGAGTATTTTTCTACTAAATTCTGGTGGATGAAAAGTCCAAATTGTGTTGATCTCACAAGAAGCCAACCTACCAATGAGAAAAGGGAAAACTGTAAAGCACTTGTTTAAACTGATTACAACCATCAAAGCCTCATGTTAGTTATACACACACAAAAAATCCATTAAAAAACACATTATGAAACTTGATCTTTTAAACGACTGAACAGGAGGATGAACTTTAAATATGTGTAGGCAGGTGTGTAACTGCTGTCTTTTTCTTTTAATAAAACTAGTGATATAAAATGACCATTTATTGGGACATATGATGTCTATGATCTTTTAAAATACAGAAGGCTCGGCTGGATCCTGTTAATCCCTGCAGTGAAATCCAGAGTGCTGAGAACCAAGCCGACATTGATTTCCTCATCCAGACTGAGCCTGAGGAGTTTCAAATAAAACAACCGTCTGCCTGCCCGGGGAAACCTAAACCTAATTCTGCAGAATGAAATACAGCAAACTCACAAACAGATACAGCTTTGTAAACACATACATAAGCTCAGCGCTTCAGCACGTTTTAGTAATAAATTGGCATATATTGCCCTCTAGTGTCTTCCCAGCATATTACCTTGCATTCGTAATGCTGTGCAGGAGTCTCTCGGTTTGCTCTGAGAGGTCGGAGGGCACCAGGATTTCGACAGGGTTGATTTTAAGGACACGGCATTCCAGCTCAGAGCGAGAGGGACCGTCAGGAAAACAGTCCAGAAGCACGTCGCCTGTGCTGGGCTGAACTGCCTGCAGACACAAACACATGCTGTGAATCAGATGATGTCAAAGATGTGCAGCTACAGCTCCAAGTTGACAGTTATACACTGTATAAACTAAAAAATGGCAAAGCATGTTCAAATTTTATTAAAGTAACTTTTTGTCTTAAGTGAGCTATTAATCAAGATTTAATTTCTTTACAATTTCTTCTTCACTACAAGTGAGTGTGTGGTGTTATTACACTATCAGCATGCAAAGAAACTGAACAGTGAACATTAAATTATTTTAAAATAATACACAACAGTCCCCTAATGTGTGTTGAACAAAAAGCCAAGGGGTAACCCTACTTTTAAATTAAATTTTTGATTTTCATCTCTTATACACAGAATACCTGAAGAACAACCAGCCTAATGGCCAGATGGGATTTATGGATTGACTTATGAAACTCACCACAAGGCCTACAGTGAGCTGCTTCTTCAGTTTGTCCCAATTCTCACTAATACAAAGCAGGAAACTGTCGGGAGGGTCCGACACAACATCATCACAGCCCCCCTCCTCCACATCCCCGAGTCTGCAGACCGGATTTACATCTTTTAAAAAAACTGTCAAGGAAACTGTTTTAAACAAAGAGTGACGATAAAAAGTTGTTTAAGAACACGTGCACACATTCATCATCTATAAGGATACCCTCTCCCACCAAAGTGGACTTGGTGTACAGGGCGCTGAGCTGACGAGTGAACAGAGTATTTCTGTTGGCCCCTGACGCTTTGATCGCAGATGTTTCTGTCTGTTTAACCACTCCGACCTATAAATTAAAACAATAAAAAAGCCAGCAGAGCATGAGCCTAAACTGCTTGCAATTAGTAAACAGTAATCATATAAAGTCAAAGATAAATTCAATTCAATTCAATTCAATTTTATTTATATAGCGCCAAATCACAACATAAGTCGCCTCAAGGCGCTTCATAGATACAGAGAAAAAAATAAAAAATAAAAATAAAAAATAAAAAAAATAAAGCAGAAACCTTGTGTCCGTGAGACACCAGCCGTCTGACATGAACAAACAGGCGGTGTGTGGGGATGCTGCACGTCATGAAGTTATGATCCAGATGACAGACGATGTTCAGCTCCTTTGCAGCAATCTGTTCACAAACAAAACGTCCTTCAGCGATCAGTGAAACACAAATCAGGTGCTGAGAGCCACTGTATTGAAAGAAGAGAATCATCTAAAACATAAGATATGTCTTTTATATTTTATACAGTTTAAATTTAAACTCCTTCTAAATGCATCACTAACACATCTGCTTTTTAGTTCTCACCTCTGCATCCTCTCCAAAGAACCTGTACTTGTAACCACACTCCACAGCCAACAAAGCATCCTTATGCTGCTGTTTCAGCTGGATCACCTGCTGCTCAAGGGGGGTGAAAATGCTCTTTGAACGCCTGGAGGAGGTGCTACAGTCCAATGGAGGACCCAGCTCTGCACACTTTCCTCCTCCTGTCTTGGCAAACTGAGAGAAGTGAACTCCCTGCAGAAATAAAAATACATCAAATCTGTTACGATGTAAAAAGTCACACTTGCTTTTTCAGTGTTATCAGGCCCTTTACTTTTTGCATACCTGTTTTGCAGCAGCCAACCCCAGATCTGCCTTTTCTTTATCATCCTCCTCTTCACCTTCATGCTCCCTTTCTGCATGCTGCAGTCTGTGTGTAGTTTCAGGTTGACCTGTAGCACAACGAGGAGACCAATCACTGCTTTCCTGACCTGCATCAGCCGTCTCTGTTTCTTCCCGGGTGATGCTGCTGACGACACTGGGCTCAGCCCCGCAGGTGAAGCCTTTCAGCTTCTCCAACGTGGAGGAGCACAGGCTGCCTGCTTTTCGGCTCAGCGTCAGCTTTGTGTCTGAAGAGAGAAGACAAGTACTACAGTCACATCAACAACAACTTCACTTTTTACACCTCAGCTGTAAGAGGCTGGATTTGTGGATGGATTTGTGAATGCAATAACACGAGTATGAGGCGAGGTAGGATTCTGATATTCATAACACACGTGCTTCTACTAAAAATGTTGGACAAGTTCAAATCTCGGTTACCTCAATCTTTCTGAAAATATTGTGAATGCAGTAACTTAAGAAGGAAGTCAACAAGGATTTTCAAAATTTTACCGTAAGTGCATCTACTAGTGCATCGAGGGGTAGCACTGGAGGCCAAATAAATGCGTTGTGGGCAGAGTTATCTCATCGCAATCTATACCAGTGCACATGTTGTTTGGAGAACTGTGATGCTGCTGTGCAGTGGACAGATATAAGTGACTTTAATGAGGGTTTAGAAGATCATGACATATTTTTCTGTCTGAAGTCAACACTCACCTTTAATGCCCTGACAGGACGCAGGCTCACACTCCACATCCTCCGCCTGTTGGTCCTTTGGAGAAGGCTTAACTCGTTTTCTTGGCAATTCCAATTCATCATCAGATGAAAGCTTCTGCTGGAGGACAAAAATGAACTGCACTTCAGTAATTAGCATTGAGTGAAGCATGTCTGATATGTGCGTGTGAAGCTCAACTCACGTTGCCTCTTGAAAGTTGCTGCTCTGCAGGATTTGGGTTAATCCCGCGCTGCTTGTTGGAGGCAAAGCTGCTGCTGCTGCTGCTCAATCCTCCGAAGTACCTGCTGATGGAGGTCTGAGTGGTGCAGGACTTTTTCAGAGACTTTGGCATGCTTTAATGTTCGCTTACATTTGATCCATAATAACAAGTCGCATAAAATGAATTTGCGTGTACAATAAAGTGCAGAGCTTTGACAGCCGCTGTCCAGCTTTTCAAAATATAGCAGCGCATACGATGAGGTCACAGACGCGTAAATGACGCGCGCCTTCTTCTTCCTCTTTGGTTAGCAGAGGTTGGCGGCTCCAGGAGCGTTGCTGCCTCCTCCTGGTTTCACCAGATATTCTACTCAATGCACTCTGCTCTGTGAAATCTTAAAATTATACACTCTTCATCACCGGAACTCCTCTGGAACGTGTATTGTAGTTGATTTCAAGTTTATTTCATCCTGAAAAAGTGAAAGACTGAATTGTAAACTGTTGTCTTTGCAAAACTTGTCGTATTTTTTGAACATTTTTCATTTTTCTCATGGGCCGGATTTCAAGTTACGAACATGAACAATGACGTGTCTGTCAGCAGTGCATCGTTTGAATGATTGTATGCATGTTAAACAAACAAAAACAAAGGATTAGGAGGAGAGGAAGCAGATCTGGACGGGCTGATTTGTAAACCCAGCCTGCTCAGGTGTACCGCACTTCTACTCGGGTTATGTCTGGAAGAGAGAAGAGCACAGCAGAAAGGAGACGGCACCAGGGCGCAGTCTTGTGTTTTAGAGCAGCAGATAACTGAAACAATCTGTCAAACTTCATACAAGCTCAAATGCATGTTTGTCCCTCTACAAACATTACTTTAAAAAATGCCATCATTTCCATCCGAGGTAACAGCTGTTTTGCCACCGCGTGTCAAGCACTCTATAAACTTTCAGAGGTTTTAATCGTGTTTGCATATTTTTGACTGCAAGTAAGTCATAATTATAACTTAAAAACCTGTTTAGAGCTCTGTTAAAAAAAAGAGAATGATACAGATTCATAAGTAAAGCTGTGTAAAAAGATGCCTTCATTTTCTCTCTAAAAACAACAAGGAAATAGCGCCTTTAAAGTCTGGTATTCTAGTAGTCTTGTAATTGTCGAATAGAATACTTATTTAGCTTATAGGATTTAAACTAATAAATAAAATTCTAAACAAGGAAACCAGAACACTTCAACTTGTGAACATCAGCCCATCTTAACCTGCCTGTTGATTGACCATTCCTTTTAAAATACATAAAGAATTATTAACAAAAAAAAAAAAACTCCTGATAAAGTAATAAGAAACACATGCCAGGGCTCTAGAGTGCGACCAATTTGGTCGCAAATGCGACACTTCACAGTTGTTTATTGTTTATTTTCTTCCCCTAAAATC